CATTTAGTTTGACTTGATGATCACCTTATATGAGCAAAAGCAAAAAAAAAAGTCAGCATCCTCACTGCAGGGAAGAGGTCTGCCCAATGTTTATTGCTCTAATCCAAATTCTTGAGGAGTTTGAGATACGATAAACACCGTCTATGTCATATGTTTTCATTCTAGTGTCTGGAGGGCTCTGTAGCTTTATTTGGTTGCAGTAGTGCAACCAAATCAGGTGCAGTAGTAGAGCTTTGTCAAATGTTTACTGAAAGCTCTCCTTGGCCATCTGTTTAGTTAACTTGTCTCTCTTGATCTTAAAATTATGGAACTGGGGAGAGGTGAAAGTCTGAGCTGTCACTTTTGATACACAATGTTTTACTAGGATCAGCAAACTTTCATGTACCAATCTTTGCAGTAAGAATTAGTGAACTGAAAGCTTTTCAAAGTTTTCTTTGGTATGCTTGAAATTCAGTGGAATTCAGTGACACTCCCAAAGCCTTGACTGCTTCTAAAACACTATTTTTCTGTTTTCTTTCTGAAAGCACTTGTCTCCAGTTGCCACCAGACATAGTGACAGCTGTGAGATATATGTTTTATGATTGCTTAGATATGGTGCTGAACAAACTAATCATAGTTTTCCTGGATCTTTTCAATACAGTGTGTTCCATTTTTAACTTCACATGCCATATGTGATTTCTTTTTATGGAAACTAAGCCTATTTTAGCATTGATTTTATCACTGCTGTTTGGCAAGCTGAGATAGTACTAGTGCTTTTCCTCTATCTCAGTCATCCTTATTACTTTCAGTGCAGTGGCCCTTGATGCTGTTGTTATATTGCTTATGAAGGAGATTTATCTTGCATCAGGTCAGCTCACAGTAGGGGCAACAAGTTCAGACTCTCTCTGTCCCAACTATTTATACACAATGCAAGAGGGTCCAAGAGGCTTAACCGGTCATTTCTATGTACAAATCCTCTCATAGGATTCAAGATTCCACTTCAAAGTAAGGTATTTCAATGCTAAATTAAAAGTTTTTATTATTATTATTTGTCCTGTGTTAAAAAAATGTGTTAAAATGTGGAAAAGATTCAGTATTTATTTTATACAAAAAAAAAGAAAGTATTACGTAGAGTCATATCTTCTCTTTGTGCTTTTTCTCTGCTGAATGTTAATAAATAAACAAACAAGCAAAAAAGAAACATTGCTTGCATTTTCATTTACCAATTTTATAGTATTTGCAAAGAGTAAGTACTTTGTGTCTGCTTTGCAAGAGGAAAATAGAAAGTTGGAAGTTAGTATAGGTGCCTTGCCAAAGGTTATATAGTGCATCTGGAAGAAACCAGAAATACAAACTAGATTTCTAGTGTCTTAGTTTGCTGGTTTTTGCATTCAACTATGATAATATTTTTTCTGGATGTTCTATATTGCATCTCCTTTGATTACCTTCTGCATTTTAAATGGATAGCTGCAAGTTTGTGAACTACAGTCCTTATTTCTACCTCTTCCACTGAAGAAGGTGTAATGATCCAAAACTTCCTGAGATTTCTGCCCTTAAGTTTTCCTTAATTCAAAGAGAATTAATAAATCTAGGCTTAGAACACACATTAGTAAGCTAATGTTTGTATAAATGTGAGCCTGTTTATACCACAGTGTGTAAACCCTCTGAGACCAGAGGCATCTTACAGGGAAGAACCAATAAAAATATTTTGTGTTTCTCTTTAATTAGCAATATCTTGTGGAATTCCTAAAGCTCCAGTAAACGGTGGAATATTAACCACAGATTACTTAGTTGGCACCCGTGTTACTTACTTTTGCAATGATGGGTATAGACTATCATCCAAAGAACTTACTACTGCAGTCTGCCAGCCAGATGGTACATGGAGCAATCACAATAAAACACCTCGCTGCGTAGGTAAGAAAAAAAAATCTACAATTAATAAGAACCTGACTGTACATTGTTTCTGTTTATCTAAGAAACAAACTTTTCTTTACTTAAACTTTCAGCTTATTTGCTTTAGAGTGTGAATCATGGGTGGTATTAAGTATTTTAATCAGAAATATATTGAAGCATTCTGTGGCAACAGAAAATGAAGGTTGCTACACATCATAGAGTACATTCAAGATGATAATTAATTTTCAGCTAAATCAAAGTTTATGGTTACAGAGGTTTATGCAAAACTCATCTCAGCAGTTCCTATGCTGATAAAAAAAGAAAAAATGTTCACTATCCAGTATTGCAAAATATCTGGTATTTTACAGTTCTGTGAAGCTACTGCTGATTATTTGTATCCAGCTCATCGTTTTAGGGGCTAGATACATCAATACATCATCTAAACTCCAGGGAACATGTAGTGAAAACGCATATTCAGTTGCAGGGAGAAGCAGATTTCCAAAAAATTGTATGTAAGTGGGATATGAAAACATAGGTGTGAATGACACAGAAATCTCAGACAGATAATCATATGTCCATTAAGATTTTCACCATCTCCCTTCACTGAGTTCATCAAGTGAGTTCACCGAGTGAACTTTGGAAAAGGAAACTTCCCTATAATAGTTTTAGGATTTTCACTTCTTTTTTTTTTTTCTTGTTCTTTTAAATTAATAAATTCCTCATGCCTTTTTCTCTAACTAAAGAAACAATATGCATAGACAGAAAAAATAGGTTGTAGAAGATTTATTTAATTTAATTTATTTACTTACCTATTTTTGTGGTGAGAAGAACATGTAGAATGAGAGGTGAGAGAAAAATATTTTTCTGCTGAGAACCAATCCTGAATATGAGTATAATTTTTCCTGTCAACAACACAAATCAAACTCAAGATGTCATAGGAAGAAAGAAATTCTTGAATTAAAATTTGACTAGCATTTTAGTAAAGATTCTCATGACTGATCAGAAATGGCATGGTAATTCCATGGCAATGAACCTGATGTTCAAACACTGATGTTTTTCAAGACCCTCACTCTTCATCATCTTTATGATATGTTTCTGAATGAATAATTGTACATATTTTCCCAATTTCAGTGTACTAAGCCAGAAACAACTGTGTGTTTTTGTTAATTTTAAAGTTGTTACATGTCCGAGCATCAATTCTTTCACATTGGAGCATGGAAGATGGAAAATAGTGAATGGTTCACATTATGAGTATAAAACAAAAGTAGTTTTCAGCTGTGATCCAGGCTACTATGGTTTGGGACCAGCATCTATTGAATGTCTCGCTAATGGCACCTGGAGTTGGAGAAATGAGAGACCTTACTGTCAAAGTAAGTACCTGCTATATCTATCTTACAGAATACATGTTATATCCATCTGCCTACATCTGTATCTATTGACCTCCTCCATGTAGATTTCAGATAAAAATATTCCATTTGGCTTACATAGAAATGTAGAAGCTTTTCTCAGCCACAGTCCCTGTATATCCTGGAGGCTATTATGTACAAATAAAATCCCTTAGTCCTAGTGACAAGGAAATGTGTCTGTACACACTCCTGTGTTTTTAAGTAAGTTTCCTGTCCCTTAAAAATTACTAAAGATATATGGTAGCTAGATGGCAATGAATTCCATGAAAATGGTTTATTCGTTATTGCAATGTATTGTGAGAATGGAAGAGCAAGAGTTTTGGTATGAAATAAAAGTTACATCTTTTCAAAGAAACAAAAATGTAATTTCCAAAATATTAACCACATTGATACTGAAATAGCTTTAAAAATACAAACAAAACCAAGGTAATTAAATAACACATAGTTAATAACATTCTGAGCAATTTTTTTTTTTTTTTAATTTTACAGCTTGGGTTTTTTTTTCCAATTTTTGAGTATCATTCCTGTGGAAACATTAGTCTTTGTAAACAGAGTTTTTTGTCCAACCTGTGACATTTATTGGTATCACATACTGTTGCATGTGTGTTTGTGGTATTCAAATACTAACTTTTTCTTTGTTTTGTTTTTGCTGTAAAGTTATTTCTTGTGGAGAACTTCCAACACCTCCAAATGGAAATAAGATTGGAACTCAAATCACATATGGATCTACAGCTATATTTACTTGTGATTCAGGATATATGCTAGTTGGCTCTACTGTAAGGGAATGTCTCTCTTCTGGACTCTGGAGTGGAATTGAAACCAGATGTTTAGGTATGGATAATGATGTGAAGGCTTGCCTATTTTCTTTGGCAAGGCAATCAACTTGTCTCTTTTCTTTAGCCTTTCAAGCACAGACATTGAAGAGAATTCTGTGTTTTATAAATTTGTGTGGATAGATTACTTTTCTTTTGAAAAGATAACTATAGTTTCATTTCCAGAGATTGGACACATTTTTCCAATATCTAGTTTCCATGAAAAGCCTGTGTCATGGTATTGCTGCATATAATTCTGAAGTTGACTCATGTATACACAGTAAGTCCAATGGATTCCAAAAGCGTCAGGTTTAATAATTACCACTAGGAAAATGACTGCATAGGAAATGTGAATTCAATTGTTACAGTTATCTGTGCACGTGCAATTCAAATAAAACATAAAATATTAGAGAGGAAACTTGAATGTGAACATTGTAGCTTTATCACTGAGGAAAAATCACTATGCAGCGGATATTGATAGAATTTGACTACCCCTGTACACACGTAGGCAGCTTCACTTAAATAAGGTACTCAAACCCCAGTCCTTCAGTTGGTCATGAATAAAATGTGCGTGTTATCTCTGTGAAACAATTTCAGGGCTTCTTTTTAATATTTCTTTTTAATTTTGTTTCCTTTCAATCAGTGACAAGAGTAACAAGGTCAAATAAAAGATATGTGTTTATAACTAGAAAAATATTGTAGGATTTTTCTTTTTATTTTCTTATTTTTATGTCAGTCATGAACTATGAGTTAGGCAACACCTAGAACAGGAGCAGAAATATAGATTATTTTGTGCTTGTCACAGTGCTTTTGTATTCTTAATTGAAATATGATTTAAATACAATCTCACGATGTTTCCTGAGGTTTTGCCTAAACAGAGATTTTTTTCAACTTCTCCTTCTTTAGGTCTATTTTTAGAAATTCTGTTAATTCTAAGGAGATGCTCTGGATGAAGAATTATCAGAGGATCATACCATAGTTGTCTGGGGAGCTTTTAACCTTTTCCTTCTGCTAATGTAGCTTACCAGGAGAAAATGCATAGACTTCTTCAGAGACCTGTATAATTTTTATATTCAATGTGGAAAGAAGTTGATCTGGTGGAAAACCATATATTATTAAATCAATTTTCTTTAAGTGACTTTTGGCTTTAAAATGTATCCTATATTATTTTGATTTCTGTTTCAGAAAACCTGGTTACAAAAACAAAGTAAAACTACACAACAAAAATGTAGTGTGCAATAGCATTTTGTAAGATCTTGTACTTAAAAGCAGCAACAGGCTTCTTAGCTTTTTCCAAAGTATTAATATTTCATTGTGGGGCCTTACTCATTGTTAATGTAATTTACCAAGTTTCATGCTTATCTGTGGGAGAGCTGATTTTACTCGGTTTCTTACAATTGTGTTAGTTGTATGAATGAATGTAAGTTTTGGAAGATGCTTAGACATCACATCAATGAAAACCATGTAAAAAACAGGATAAGAAAGGATAGATTGCCTTCTATCTAGGTATCTAGGACTAATTGCAGAACCCATTAGAGGAAACATCTCTTATCCAAACTTCTCTTCTTGGTTGATTCATGAGCATACTCCAGCCTCTTCATGTTTGTTTAGAGGTCTGACTTCTTTTTCTTCAACTCTATTAGACTACACTTATCCCTCATTTCTCAAGTCCTTCTTCTTTCTCAATTCCTGCAGACTTCTAATCACATTGAAAAAAAAATGGTATTCTCTCTCTTCTTTATTTACTAAAAGTTATTGTTGCCATGTCCTAGATATGTCCTGGGAAGAATCAGCAGTTGTTGCAGTGATGTGTCTGTTCAGTTCTCTAAGTGGATATTAAATGTGGAATCAAAATAAACAATAAAATATGATCGCCTTTTTAATAGGTCATTATTTAATAGTCATTATTTAAGATATTATATTTTATATATTTTATGTATAAATTTTATATTTTATATAAAAAAATTCTTCAAATACATTAACAGCAAAAGGAAGATCAGGGAAAACGTGGGTCCGCTGGCGGACGGGATGGGCACCCTGGTTACGAATAACACAGAAAAAGCAGAGTTGCTGAATGCCTTCTTTGCTTCGGTGTTTA